TATAGAAAACCAACACACACTAATAGATATCTGAACGCTAAATCTCATCACCATCCATCACAGATACAGGCAGTGGCAAATACATTAATTGCTCGGTCCTTCAGGCTCACAAACGAGAGGAACAGAGATAAAGAACTGAAGAAAATTAGTACCTGTCTTCAACAAAACGGATACCAAAGGCGCACCATCAGCAAGGCAATCAGTAAACAACAACAGCCGCAGCAGAGAGTGCAGGACGAGACCCAACGAAGATCGATCGCTGTCCTGCCATACATCAAGGGGGTTACTGACAAAATCGGCCGAATATTACGGACACACGACATATCAACGGCATACAAACCTGATCATACCATCGGAGCAATACTAAGAAACCCAAAACAAAAAATTACTCTGGAAAACCAAGGAGTATACAGTGTAGCATGCGGATCGTGCAGCCTGACGTATGTGGGACAGACCAACAGAAGGATTTCAGCCAGGCTCGAGGAACATCGTTTAGCCATAAGAAACAAACAAACAACATCTGCTTTGTTTCAGCACCAACATCAGACAGGCCATAAAATTGATTTCGGCACTTGCAAACAAATAGCTAATATTCCTGATTTTAGGACTAGGATTATACGAGAGGCCATCGAAATAGAAAAGTCCGGACACCTCAATACGAGAGACGACGCTCTGCATTTATCCAACACGTGGAGAACGATAATCAAACAGCAGAGCGATGCGCAGCAGCCAACGGGGACATCGCAACTACGATCGGGCGAAATTAACAACGCGACAATTCATGGGGCGGAGCCACCTCCCCCCACGCACAAGCAGCACCGTTACCATCTCCGGCGCAGAGTATAAATACCGCACGCACCGCCGATAACCTCCCAGTGTTCGAAGTGTTTTCGGAGCGCGAGCATTGAAGATGCCAAGTGAGATTTTGGCGAAACGTCTGCAGGATTCCAGTCGGATGCAAGATTTGCAGGATTCCAGTCGGATGCAGGATTCCAGTCGGAGTTCAACGAGCGAACGGATGATATCCCGGAATATAGTGTCATCACATTTTTCCATCCGTGAATCAATACGTGAGAATATCATACACCTTTACGGGAAGGAGACCTTTACAGCCACCAAGTGTTATGAAAAACTAAGACAAAGGAGGGTTATTTCGCTGTGCAACTTGAATTTTCTTAAAAGCTGCCGCAACCAGAACTTGCTGCCAACATTTACAAGGTTGTCTTATCACACACGCACCAGAAAGACACAAGCTATCCTGGACAAAGCTAGCAAGGCCCTACTCCAAGACCAGATCAGGCGGACCCGGTACGAAATTAGTGAGACTGAGCTACAACTTTTCAGACTCCACCTGAAACTGAGCAACAAGATCCATCAGTTGCTGTGGGACCGCATAGAATTATTAACATCATGGCGCACTGAGAAAGACAAGGACATCACGTCAAAAAAACTGTGGAAGAAATTAGAAATCCTTCAGTCAAATTCCAAAAAATCAGGACAAGTGCCAAATACAAACCGAAGCAGTACAGTTCATAATATTTCAGCATACCATCTTTCCGATACAGAAGTCAGCGTACTGAATAAAGGATTTAACTACGCAATAGCTCCAAAAAGAGTACCCGTCGAAGAGATCGTTTCCAACGTCGAAGCAAGTCTTTCCACCATAGACGAACAAGATGCGGAGTTAATTAGGCAAGATGTCGCCAGAGTCTTAAGACAGTCAAAACCACCGCAACCAAACTTAAGCAGAGAAGAAATGCAAGCCTTAAGGAATCTAAACAAAAACGAAAACATTCTAATAATGCCAGCAGACAAAGGAAATGCCACTGTCGTCATGAATACGTCGGATTATAATGCAAAATTGGAGGATATTTTGAACGACCCAATATACAAACTAGTCACCAGAGATCCCACGACATATTTGGAAAAAACAACTAAGTCCAAAATTCTCGATTCATCAATAAACGAGGATACAAAGAAGAAACTTATTCCGAGGGAAAAATCGAGTCGTTGCCCAAAATTCTACGGGCTGCCAAAGATCCATAAGGACGGGGTTCCCCTGCGTCCAATCGTAAGCGCCTTTAACTCACCATTATGCAAGCTGGAAAAACATCTGGCCAGTGCACTTCAGCCTATAGTGGAAAAGGCAGATTCCTACGTTAAAAACTCAGAACATTTCACTCATTCTCTCAGGATGGACAAGGACGACATTATGGCAAGTTTCGATGTCAAATCCCTCTACCCGAGTATTCCAGTAGAAGAGGCACTCTTGCTTATAGAAGAAAACGAAGATCTTCCGCCATACATAATGGATCTGTCAAGGCATTGCCTGAAAAACGCTTACTTTATGCACAACGGGAAAATTTACAGACAAATAGATGGAGCAGCAATGGGATCATCTCTCTCACCTGTGATTGCCAACCTCTTCATGATTTACTTCGAAAAGAAAGCAATAGAGAAGGCAAATCTGAAGCCAAAACTATGGACAAGATACGTTGATGACGTATTTGTTGTATGGCCTTTTGGCAAGGAGGAGCTTTTGAAATTCCTAGATCATCTGAATTCCATTCACCCAAGGATTCAATTTACAATAGAACTTGAAGAGGATAACAGTCTGCCCTTTTTAGATGTGCACATCACAAGGACCGAAGACGGACACTTGGAACACACTGTCTATAGAAAACCAACACACACTAATAGATATCTGAACGCTAAATCTCATCACCATCCATCACAGATACAGGCAGTGGCAAATACATTAATTGCTCGGTCCTTCAGGCTCACAAACGAGAGGAACAGAGATAAAGAACTGAAGAAAATTAGTACCTGTCTTCAACAAAACGGATACCAAAGGCGCACCATCAGCAAGGCAATCAGTAAACAACAACAGCCGCAGCAGAGAGTGCAGGACGAGACCCAACGAAGATCGATCGCTGTCCTGCCATACATCAAGGGGGTTACTGACAAAATCGGCCGAATATTACGGACACACGACATATCAACGGCATACAAACCTGATCATACCATCGGAGCAATACTAAGAAACCCAAAACAAAAAATTACTCTGGAAAACCAAGGAGTATACAGTGTAGCATGCGGATCGTGCAGCCTGACGTATGTGGGACAGACCAACAGAAGGATTTCAGCCAGGCTCGAGGAACATCGTTTAGCCATAAGAAACAAACAAACAACATCTGCTTTGTTTCAGCACCAACATCAGACAGGCCATAAAATTGATTTCGGCACTTGCAAACAAATAGCTAATATTCCTGATTTTAGGACTAGGATTATACGAGAGGCCATCGAAATAGAAAAGTCCGGACACCTCAATACGAGAGACGACGCTCTGCATTTATCCAACACGTGGAGAACGATAATCAAACAGCAGAGCGATGCGCAGCAGCCAACGGGGACATCGCAACTACGATCGGGCGAAATTAACAACGCGACAATTCAGGGGGCGGAGCCACCTCCCCCCACGCACAAGCAGCACCGTTACCATCTCCGGCGCAGAGTATAAATACCGCACGCACCGCCGATAACCTCCCAGTGTTCGAAGTGTTTTCGGAGCGCGAGCATTGAAGATGCCAAGTGAGATTTTGGCGAAACGTCTGCAGGATTCCAGTCGGATGCAAGATTTGCAGGATTCCAGTCGGATGCAGGATTCCAGTCGGAGTTCAACGAGCGAACGGATGATATCCCGGAATATAGTGTCATCATATATATATATATATATATATATATATATATATATATATATATATATATATATATATATATATATATATATATATATATATATATATATATATATATATATATATATATATATATATATATATATATATATATATATATATATATATATATATATATATATATATATATATATATATATATATATATATATATATATATATATATATATATATATATATATATATATATATATATATATATATATATATATATATATATATATATATATATATATATATATATATATATATATATATATATATATATATATATATATATTCTCTTTATTTATCTATGTACTTAAAATATAAAATAATTTTGGTGTTAATCTGATCAACTTTCAGAGAGAATTAAAATTAGTGATGATTTACATAGTGTCAATTGAATATAAGTAAAGACAAGTTGAAATTGTAATCTTCAGTTGACAACCGAGAAAATAAAAGAATCTATCCAAACATACCACATGAAAACCGAATGATACATATATATTTTTTTATGGATTTCATAAAAAAATGGAAATATCAGTTATTTCTTTTTTAATTTAATGTCGAAAAAATTGAGAATAATGATTTTGGTACTTGATCATTGTCCAAAAAAAAATCATTTTTCTTCTAGGTTTTCTGTTCTTTATCCATTGTAGATGGTCCTTTAAAAGGCCTTTTTTTTATGTTATTTTAATATCAGTTTACTTTTTTTTTCCTATTGTGATTTTCTCTTATTACGCACAATATGCTGGGTTGTACTGTTATTTGACAACTAAATTATAAACATTTGAAGAACCGGCGAATTTATAAAAATTTTTTTTTTCATTTACAAAAATCACTATTCGTATATGTTCAATTTTTTATTCTTTATCTTTTAAAAGATATTTAACAAACATCTAATTCGAAGAATTAATTCTACTTAACCTTTTAAAATAATAATTCATCAAAAAGCATAATTTCAAAAAAAAAAAAGGTTTTCTTTAGTTTACTGCATTGATTCCGTTAGAGACTCGCACCGAATTTTTGTACTGAATCTAACAGTTGAAGTACAGAAAAAAAATGTTTATTATTCATTTTACGACAAAAAGTTATTCAGAAGACCTTTAATACCTCTACTTCTCGAAGAATTGGAATTTAAAAAAAAAGTAGAACAATTAGAACATCATTCCATTTAAGTAAGTTTCCAAATCGTTCTTCACTTAGAATACGAATCAATAACGTCCTCTCACAAAAAAATATTGACAACATCACACTCACTCGATTTGACACCGACCTTACTCTCCCACAAATTCACTTAAAAGTGCGTTTTCCTTCATTCCTGGACTAATTTATATAAATGTTGAAATTATATGTTTAAAGCACGTGTATTCTTTCTCATATATGCTGCCCTATTATTACAAAACAGAAGGGGTTGCAATCAATTTGATTAAAGGTTTTGCGACACCACGCATTCGACAGGAAACTTATTGAAATAAACGTTTTATTTGGAATAAAATTTATTTGTGTTTAAAATGAATGCGATTATTTATTTGACAAAGCAGGTTTGTAGTTTACTATATCTCAAACATTTTAATAATAATTAGATTCGACATCTTTGTGATTTAAGTAATCTAATTGAGCTTCTATCTCTTTGTGCAAGCGCTGAATCTGCTGTTGATGTACAAGATGCTGCTGCAGCATCACTTCCTGTTCACTGACTAGCGATTTCTGTTCATGCAGAATTCCTTCCTGCTGTCCGTGTGACATGCTGTGATAGTGACTAGATGATTGCAGAGCCAGCAAATATTGCAGTTGTTGGTTTATGTGATGTTCTCGACGAAGGAAATGGCTGACTTCTTGCTCTTCATGGTGAAGTTGACTAAAATTAATACCGAACAAAAATGTTTAAAAAAAAAACAAAAATTGTACGTAATACAAAACCAAGTAGTTGAATATCGAAAAGAAAAAACGAATAAACTCAATTAATTCCAAAGTATCATTTTACGTCGAAATTAAATGTTTGAATATAATATTTTGATTTTGGTTATAGAAATCTTAGCTTTTAATATAACTTTTAAATAAAACATTGAGAAAATTAGCCAACCAAAAAAGTAATTAAGGGGTATTACTCTAAAAAATATGCCTTGATATTATATGTATATTATATATTATATTAAATATGTTTTCATAGAACAGTGTTGCCATATAATTCTTTGTATGCTAATAAAGAACTCATTCCTAATATTAAGTCGTTGAAGAATTGTTGAGAGGCATAAAAAATCAATTCTCACCTGACAAGTTCGTGAATTTGGTCAGCTGTCCATTTGTGATGCTGGTGTCCTGCATACTTCGGAAACTTCGCAGAGAATTGCGCGTTTGAATCTCCAAGGAATCCATATCCACCGAAAAATGCATTCAACGCAGGATATGGATCAACTGCCGTTTCGAGGCCATGATGATATTGATTGTCGGAATAAGATTGAGGGTAACTGTAATGATGAGTTCCGTAAGTGTAGTCGTTTTCTGATCCATAATGAGAATAATGCCGATGCTCGTAAGGATGATGCGAAAACGTGTCCTTAGATACCAAGGGGAAAGTTTTCTGCTTCTCCCATGAGGGGACATTTATATATGAGTGGTGTGGAGCTAATTGTTTTAATACGTTATATACGGCCATATGAACTTGACCTCTTTCGGCTGCTTGTTTTACTTCCGCCATTACCTGCGCGAAAGTGGCATCATCTACAACACCCTGATGTTGCCGGAAAATGTTTTTCAGTACTGCCAACTGGGAATTTGTAGTCCCCGAATGCTCGTCTTTGTTCGCGTGGTGTGTTTGGTTGTCTGTCCAGTGCGTTACATTCTTAACCACCTGGTTCTCGTTATTAATTTCGATCTTCCTACTAGGCTCATGGGCGATTTTTGCTATGATCACCAAGTGCTCGTGGTTCTCATGAGCTTGAGAAAACAAAACACGTCCGTTCTCAGTGCTTACAGTTATGGTACCTTCATCATCTATGCGAATATCCTTCGGATTGTTATGCAAAGGTGTGGCAGATACGAGCGCCAACAGAAGTAGGAAAACCCCGCAATTCATCTTGAAATGACAATTAAACTTGCCAGCTGTTTCTCACTGTTGGTCTTTATATACAAAACACATATCGGCGATTTGTTGCAAAATACCGGTGCATTGAATGTTATCGTAAATTATTTTTGTAAAAATATATTTTGCAGGGTTTATCACCAAAGAGACGTTTTAATCTTGTTTTGCATTCGTTACCAATTGAAATTGACATTAATTTATTTTATTGAAAAGCAGTACCTCCTTCATAGCCATGTACTTACAGCAGAGAAAAGCACATGTTTGTTACCTACTTTCTGTATCTTGGGTTGGGTAAGGCTAATGTTTTATTAACATAGCAAAAATATTTGTTTCATTAAAGGTTATACGTAAAAATCAATTAGCATCAAATTTTCCTACTAACTTTGTTAATATATTTTTTTATACCCACTACTCTAAAATGCGCAATTATGCAGAAATCATGCGTGTATTTTGACGTTCGTCAGTTCACTGTTTTGCAAAAGTGTACACCAAACGCCTATGAAATTTGAAAAGTGAGCTAAGAACGCGAGATATTTATAAATAATATTATTAATAATAATTAATATTTTTATAACAACAACCCATTTTATTGAAATTATTGAAATGATTGGCCATTGTAACGACTTAAACACACTCATAATACAGGATTCTCACTTTCTGAAACTGCTTTCCTTGCAAATATTGAGTAAAAAAAGTGTATTTCGAGAAAAAACGGAAAATATACGATTTCACAATATGAAAATTAACTTGTTGCTTCTCAAATTGTATTCAATATCAAATTAAGGAAACTGCAGCTGTTGACATTTCCGTACACCACTCTGTAGATCACAGAATCAGTAGTTGAAGCTGATTTTTAAAATTTTATTTAATTTTATTATTTCGATTCCATTTCTGTTTAAATCAGTCCAACGAGACTTCGGTAAGTAAAATGTCTAAATTGGAAAGTTCATAACAAATATTTTGTTGTTATTCTATGTACATAAAATCTTACCTTCTTCAATCTATCTAATCTACTAATGATGTATGTATTTTTATCATAATGTTTTTCCCAGTGGCAAATTGTTACTGACTTTATTTTTCAAGTTTATCAACAATGGAAACACAAAGTTTATGTAGTAAAATAAAATTAAGTAGCTAAAACCGGCTGTGTGGTTTAAATTCTCTACTACGGTCATATTTTTTTATACAGCGCTAATTCCCGCGTTACGCATTGTGGATGTAATTTAGATCATACTTTGTAGCAGTGAGTTCGAAGACAATAACCAAGATAATTTCTGTCCGTTTTACATGGTTATCTGAATTTGACGAACCCAAAGGGAAATAATAAAAATATTTTTAGATTGCCGGTTGCTAAGCAAAATAACTGCAAAAACAATTCGCCAACAAAATCTTTTGTGCACAATATTTTTCGACTTGGACTATCTATACCGGGTGACACAAGAAAGTGGGAATACTATATAACTTTTTAACGGCTTCAGATAGCGATTTGAAATTTGATAGCGTTAATATAGGCTAAATGTTCAAATTTTTAGCAATATGTAGTCACTGGTTGCACTTTCAGTTTGAGCGGAACCGACAGTAACTTTCGAATTTTAAATGACGCACCCTATATTTTTTTGCATTTTTGGATTCAATCATTCATTCTATGTAGGATAGGACGGTTTTTAATTTTTATTTAATTTTTTAAAATTGTGTCTAGGAGGCTGTGACCATCATAGATAGTATTTTCCGGGTCACCTGATCTTGTGAAACTAGGATCTAGGATAACCTAGTTTTTTCAAATAGCACCCTAGTGATCGATGATTTCGCAGCTTCTCGTAATTTTTTGATCGTATTGAGATCAACCGATTGTAGTTGGAGTACTGATACTGGTAGCTATTTCTTTATTTCGACAATTCATTTGTAATTTAAGTTTCTGTTCCGATGGTATTATCAAAACAAATCTACTGGTGATTGGTCGAATTATATGCGTTGAAACATTTACATTGACTACGTGGCAATTTTTGTTGTCGGCATATTTAATGAGGGTTGTCACACAATCACCGATGGGCGATAGGTAAATTAAGGAGTGATTTACGTGTACTGGGAATAGGTGGAATATTTAGAAAATTTGTTTAAGAAAAATCGGAATAGGGACGGCAAAAATTATTTTATCTTTTGCAAATTTGACTTGTAAGTTTGCTAATTATGTTTATTTTCATAGTTTAATGATTTTAATTGATTAAATAGTGGAGATGTTTCTACAAAATGCAAAAATGTATATTGATGTTGAATAATTCGAGCATTTCCTAAGTGGAACGATAGAAGTGGTGTTTTGGTTAGTTAGTAATAGGGATAACTTCAATGTCGTTATTCGCTATTACTAATAACAGCGTAGATGCACGAAGGAACCGCATTGTCCGATTCATTAACATGCGAAAAAGAAAAAGCTTTAGGTTTTTGGATCTGAGATTTGCGAATTATTTTTTTATTTTTTGTGAGAATTTTATTCCAAATATCTTGATCTATAATAAGAGCTTTTCTTCGGGGTTTATCGTTACTACGTTGCCGTTTTGTCAGGTTTGTTTCATTTCAGGTAGGTTTTCTAGTTTTTCGTTTTGTTTTTCATTTAAACGTATTTTTGTTTCTAACGATGTTTCGTAAATTTGTTGAGAGATAGTTTTTAATCATTCGCATCTATCTGCAATATAATTACAATGATTTCATCCGTTAAATCAAAGGGATCTAAACCGTTTACTTTTATTTATGACATGAAAAGGTGTTTGTTTCGTTACGCTATACATTGATGACTTGTAACCTATAATTGCGTACTTTATTAAATTTTTAGGGGCTTCTTTAGGTTCTCTTAATCTTAGTACCCTATATAGTTTAACAAGAGTAAAGTGAAACCTCTCTATTTGACTATTACTATTAGAATTGCCAGCAGTTGTAAAATTAATTGCAATTTTATGCATTTTACAGAAATCCAAATGCAAAGACGTTTTAAATTCCGTACCATTATCACACGTCATTTGTTGAGGTAGGCCGTGATGACTTAAAAAGGTCGCTAAACCGTCTAAGATAACAACTGCTGTGCAAGCGGGTTTTAACGGATAATCTTGGGCGTTAACACACACACACCCACACACACACACACGCACACACGCACACACGCACACACGCACACACGCACACA